TTGAAGTGACTGGCTTGACTCTGAAGGAGCTGGGGGAGGTGACGGCCGACAGGGAGCTCTGGCATGGGCTGGACCATGAGGTCACGAAGAGTCGGAAACGACTGAACGAATGAACAACAACATAGGCAAATATAAAAAAAGAACCATTCTCTTCTCTGAGTGATGGGAAGAGCTTAATCCATCCCGAGATAAAACACCAAGCCCTCCTAATCTCTCCACTTTTTTGAATGCCTTCTACCAAGGGGGCAAAGGATGGCTGCCCCTCTGAAGCAATATTGGTGTTTTCCCATCTCCATAAAATGACCTTCACCTTATCCATGGAACATGTCATAATATTGCCCCCAAATCAGCTCTTGACTTATACATGAGGTCAACATATACATCAAAGTATACTCCAAGCACTCTCATTTCCCTTTTACAGGACCACATCAGACTAAAAAAGCAAAAACAACAACAAACAAACAAATCCATACCTATAGCTTCCCTATTAAATCTCCCCGTTATTTCAGTGACTTCAACTTCAGCTCATTGATCAAAGGAAACTAGAGGAATTCTATCAAACTCTTTGATGAACAACAAGAGGTTGTCAGCAAGTGATGACATTACAAGACAGGAAATACAACCACACTGATTCAGCAGAAGAGGACCAGACCACACCATTACACAATCTCCAAACAATAAAGCTTTACAACCCAACTAGGAGACTACTGCAACCACGGTCAAAGGGTAATTTGATTTGGTCATACAAATGAGAACACAGAAAGACATTCTCTATTAAACTAAGCTTCAAGGCATATTACAGAGTGGCGACTTCATAGAGATAGGAGGAAAACACCCACTGTTCAAACAAGATAAACAAAGCTGTATGTAGCCTGGAACTCATTTCCTGCACCAAACAGAAACAACAGCGCCTGCGTAGCTGACAAACTGTCGGCATTTCAATAGCCATCTCATATCACACATCTCACACAAAACACCAAACAGAAGGAGATCTGTACTATCTACCAAAAGCAGTTTCTGCATGTGGATTCTTTGGTTGTAAAAATGGCACTGTCAATATTTAAGAAAGAAATGGTTCATAAATAGTCAAAATATCAAGCGGTTATCCCAAACTAGTTAAATAATTTAGTATGTTAAGGACTCAGATTATTAGGAGGGGCAGAGTGAGAGTACCCTAGAAGAGGGCACGGATCTTACCAATACTTCACATGGTAAGAAGCTGTCTTTTACATTCCACGGGAATTTCAGCTGAGCTCAGGGTCATATGACACCATAGGCCAGGAAATCCTGGCTTCTCATGTATGATCAAGGGTACTGATACTGATTGCTTCTGCTTGTAGCAGTTAACACATAAAGTAGCCATGGATCTTTTGTGATTTGCTGCACAGGTTGCATTCTTTATTTAGTTACTTTATTGACTTTGTTGCAAATCTGGCCACAGCTGCTGCTCTGATCTATTTCCACAGTTACCTGACTTGTGTTGTTAATTGAAAGACTCAACAAAATTAAATTCCCAGTATTGAAGCTGCTTCATTCATTAGAGAGAGAAATAATTCAGTACTTGCAGTGACAGATGCCAGATGAATAAAAAGGAATTATACTACAACATTTTTATCTGC